CATGTAAACTTAAATTTAAAAAAATCCAGCCAAGAAAATGGGTGAAATTATGAGCGTTTAATAAATAGATCCTTTTACTAGAATCTAGGTTTCCACAAACTCTACTAGAAGGATAATCCATCTATCTCTATCTATCTATCTATCTATCTATCTATCTATCTCTATCAGTCTATCTATCTCTATCAGTCTATCTATCTATCTATCTCTATCAGTCTATCTATCTATCTATCTATCTATCTATCTCTATCTATCTCTTTCTATCTATCTCTCTATCTATCTCTATCAGTCTATCTATCTCTATCTATTTATCTATCTATCTCTATCAGTTTATCTATCTATCTATCTATCTATCTCTATCTATCTCTTTATCTATCTCTATCTGTCTCTTTCTATCTATCTCTTTATCTATCTCTATCTATCTATCTATCTATCTATCAGTCTATCTATCTCTTTCTATCTATCTCTATCAGTCTATCTGTCTATCTATCTATCTATCTATCTATCTATCTCTATCAGTCTATCTATCTATCTATCTATCTATCTATCTCTATCAGTCTATCTATCTATCTCTATCAGTCTATCTATCTATCTCTCTCTCTCTCTCTCTCTATCCATCTGTCAGTCTATCTCTGACTGACTCCCACTCATTTTGCTAGTAAGTAATTGGTTAATAATTTCTCAGGGCAGTGGCTGAGGTGACATCCTACAGTGCTCCCCTTATACGTGATGTAGAGATGACTGGTGGCAATACAGGTTTATATTATATTCCACAGATATAGGGACCGCACTCAATCAAATTCACTACCCCCTCCACCACTGCCAGGATAACAATAGATCCGAGTTAGTCAAACCCTTCAATAGTTTCCAAGAGAGAAAGGGGATCAGACCAGTCAAAGTGAGGTTAAACGCTGAGTCAACATGCAAGAACGTTTCAGCTACACACACAGCTACGCACTGGGACCTTTGTCAAATCCAGCAGCTCTTCCAATAGTGCACTTATATATACATCATGATTACATTAAAAATATACATTTTAGTGTTTTATTAATCTAATTATGGTTAGATTAATATGAATATTATTATTGTTGATTATTTATTATTATTATTATATTGTTTTTGTTTTTGTACATTTTATTATGATAAAATTGAATAATAGTATAATTGTTTTATTAATTGATTATGATGTGTATATATATAATATACGTGCACTAGTGTAAGAATTGTCAGAATGGAGAGTGTCCAGTTTAAACGTGTGTTGACTCAAAGTAAAGTCTGCATTTAAAGGGACACCATCTGCATCCAGACCACGTCATCTCAATGGGAGTCATGTCTCTCTCGTTTTAACACCAAAAGTCCAAACATTGCTGCGCATGCACACTAGCCTCCCAATACTTTCCTATGGGAGTATGCTACCTTTTTAATGGCTTTGAGGGGGGCCAGACACTATATCACTATATCATATACAATGCACATTTTATTCCTAACTCTAAAATGTTCGTTTAACCCCATTTTGAGTGCTCGGATCTATCTGTCTCCCCTGAATACAGATTTATACACACTGGACCTGAAGGGTGTTATATTGGCTGACGGGCTCCTTTGAAACTATCCAGTTACTTGTATTGTGCCAAGGACAAAGTGGGCACCTAAAATCATGTCCCTGAGTCACACTGTTTGAGCCATTGCTCTGGGTTCTGGCTGCTGTGTAACCGGATCACAGAAATCTGATCAGAGCTTTGGCAGCAGATTACTGAACGTCTAGCTAATACGGCGTGTGATGCTAACTGGCTCAGCTCTGTCCGATTGTTAAGTGAATCTTTCAGTTCTGGGACACATCTTATTGTGTGAATAAAGCAAAAGACAAAAAATGGAACTGAATTAGCTCCGTACGGTGGTGGTGGTGATGGGGAACGATATATAAAAACGATATCTTTCATGATGGCTTACTTTTTTAACTGTGAATCAATTTACATTCCCAGAGAATATGTTGTATAAATTGCTAATGATTGAATATCGATAATCATGTTCAAAGTATTACACGAGAAAAGTAACACACACATATATATATTGATATATTGATATATTGTAGCACAAACGTGTTCTGGTGATTGTTAGAGGTTTGTAACAAGCTTACAATCTAGGAGGATTTGAAGTAGGCAGATATTGATATCATTAGGTGTCTTGCCCACAAACATTGACTGGTGAGGTGGTCTGACCGGAATTCAAACCAAAGGCCTACATTAAACTAAGAGTTGTGGAGAAATTAAATTTTAAACCACACTAGCAGGGCTGTGTATTTTTCGTTACACTTTTGACTTTTCTCCACATTTCCCGGTTTAATGGATAACCTGCTAGTTACGTTCACCAGTCCTCGCGGCTGCGCAGGGCTCCTCGCTGTCTGTATGTTTCTTTGGTGCGATATCTGCGTCGCCCATGTCATTAACAGTTTGGGAAAATGGGAGAAATTGAGGGGCATATGGTGACGTGAAAACAAACTAAGGACTGTCTCTTGGAATCCAGGACTGGTGGCTCCGTGAATGTGTAAAATGCCATTTTCATAAAGAGTTATAGGATAGAAATGATTCTTTCCAATCAAATCAGAATTTTGAGAAAACACAAAATATAAAAATATAGTGTTATCACGTAACAAACTGAAATGAGCTCTTCAAAATATATATTAGTAGGAAAAAAATGAATATTTGCAATCAGGTTAGGCCGCCATTCTAATATGACACCTGTAGGTAGCCACCTACTCTGCCTACTGGCATATCTGGGCCTGGTTGTGATTCCCATACTGCTGTCATTGTCACACAATGCTGCTCTCCAATGTTGCCATACACAGACATGCATGCTAATGAGCCTGAATGCACAGCATCATGGGAGATCAGTGATTTACACCACGTACCAGGCTGCGCGTGCATTCACTTTCTTCCTGTTTACATAGTATACATGCCCAGCATGCAATGCAAACAAACTTTTTACATTCTGAGATGGCTGGAAGCGAATTTATTTAGATTTCTGCGCAGCCCGCTCTCACTGAGCAGGAAGGACATTTCAGGGTATAAATAAATCTATGAATTAATGCAACTCAATAAATCTTCCACATGTTAGCAGCGATTCCAAGCTGTAAATCGCACAATTTTAATGTGTTTGTAAGCCCTGTACAGATTACAGTTCATATCCTGGATCATTTACATACAGCCTGAGAGTCTCGTTAAAATAAACAGAATAAGATTCATCCCTTGCCAAACACCACTAAACCTGTATTTCTTGCTGAAAAAGTTATTAATTAATTAATAGTTTCTAAATGGGCCAGTTTTACAATATGTCGCCTCACATTTTAGATTTAGATTTTAATGATTTCATTTTGCTATTTAGTGTTTAATTTACAGTTCATTGTTTTTAGTTTACTCTCCTTTCCTTAGTGGAGGAAATTGACTATGGTTTTATGGTTCCATAGCTCATTATATGTGAATATTATACAAGCTACAGGCAATGTTAACTAAAGGGTTAAATAAATTGATTGAAGGCGGTGATCGTGGGACATTAATTCAGGCATGTGGTGACCACTGGGAATGATCACCTGATTAGCAGATGACCGCAGTGGGGGGTGGTGGAGGGTGATACTGTGGGATTCTTTGGTGCCCAAAATAGTTTCCTGACAAAACAATAGCTGGTCTGTCCGTGGGTCGCTAAATAGCATTCCTAACTCTGTTAATGCCGTTTACTACACGTATCATAGACTCACTGCTGCTCTGGTGATCATTTCACAGGGAAGAGCTCGGACTCGGAGCAATTGCTCCAGATGATTTCAATGTAAGTAGGCCGCGTGGCTGGAGAGAGGGCAAACTCAGAGTGAGATATCAGGCATTTATTCACTAAAATGTGAATTGTGCAGAACTAACAAGAACAGATGAGAGAGAGAGAGAGAGATACCAGGTCCATTTTAAAGTTCAGCTTTGTTCCCTAACAAATGTGCTGAGTGGATCACCTGCTTCCTATGAGTTAATGGGACACTATACCAAAATAAATTTAGCTTAATGAAGCAGTTTTGGTGTATAGATCATGCCCCTGCAGTCTCAATGCTCAATTCTCTGCCATTTAGGAATTAAATCATGTTTGTTTCTGTTAATGCTGCCCCAGCCACACACACCTAGTTGTGACTCACACTGCCTGCATGTAAAAAAAAAAAGTTTCATTTTCAATCAGATGCTAACTTACCTTAGAAGTTTTTATCTCCTGCTTTGCAAATTGAACTTTAATCACACACTGGAGACTCCTGCAGAGTCTAGCAAGCTATTAACAGAGCAGGAGATAAAAAATGAATTATACATTAAACAGAATGTATAATAAAGGAAGGGTAAACATTAAACGACTCTTTACAGGAAGTGTTTATGGAATGCTGTGCAAGTCACATGCAGGGAGGTGTGACTAGGGCTGCATAAACAAAGGGATTTAACTCCTAAATGGCAGAGGATTGAGCAGTGAGGCTGCAGGGGCATGTTCTATACACCAAAACTGCTTCATTAAGCTAAAGCTGTTTTGGAGACTATTGTGTCCTTTTAAATAGTGATTTGCAGTGAATTGAGAACCACATTGCTAAACAGCCCATTTATGATAATGAGACAGTGTTTCTAAATCGACGATTTTATTACATTTTGCAATTTTCGATTCATTACAGGTTATGCTCCATGTGTTTCTGTGAATGAAAGATCCACTTTAATATTTTAACTCGGCAAGTCAGAAATAAAAATTTATATATGTACACTTCCTTCCCTCTGTCCTTGAGATCAAATAGTTAAAACCTCAAACTTGCATTTCTGTGACCAAGAATGCAGTAAGACATATTGTTACCATAATGTGGATTGTGGAAACGGACCAAGGAACTGAAAGTACAAAATATAGACAAAAAAAACCCAGGAGAATTGGGAAATATTTCTGTATTCCGCTGGCTTTCAAGTAAAAAACATTTTTGCAGAAATCTTGCATTTTCCTTTTAAATCCTTCTGTTAAGAGAACGTTCAGCCGCTGGCACAGAAACAAAACCGTTACATTTTAAAATTGACTTGAATACATTTCTACAGTGATTTCTGCCATGTCGAGTGTTCAGATTTAAAGCTCTGACAAAGTGGAGGAGATCAGGAGACCTCATTCTCACACCACGCATGGTTAATTTGAAGCTTTGCCTCCCATCACCCCCATTCTTCATCACCAGCATTTCCATTGTATTAGTTGACAGAGAGGACAGCTGGGACCTCCCACTGGGGACACCAAACTGACACGTAGAGTATCTCCCAACCTACGCTCTTTGACTGGAAAGCCGGCTCCGAGCTCAGTAATTATTACTTTCTTTTATATGGAGATTTTGGAGGAGCCAACGTGGAGACCATTGAAGACAGTGATTCCTCTTTTGTTCTGTGATGGGTCGGGGTAGGCTGGACATGTGAGGACCTCCCAAACGTACAGCTAGTAGATACTGGGCCAAGGCTGCATTTTTCTGTCTAATGAATTGGCCAATGTATTGACCGCTTAATAATCAGAGTTCCAAGCAAGGACTATTCCTGGTGAAATTGAGGGAAAGGTGTAAAGTCATCTTTTTTTGACGGGATTTAGTCATGGCTAGTTGTGGCACTGTAGATATTTGTCGACTATATTTCTTCTAGTGTCTCTTGGTGGGGTTTAAAAATAAATTGTGTCAAAAATACCATTCGCATAATATGGTAATACTCACGTAAATAGGCTCCTAAAATATTTACCGAAAGGAACTGTTGTGGACGTTTATTGCACTGAGATTGACTGATGAAACCTAGCCACCGCATGGCAAGGGAAGAGCCAGGTGTAAGATAGTACAATGGCATTCAGGGTTAATGCACAGATTTTTAAAAATAAAATAATAAAGAAGAAGACCTTAACAGTGGAACAAGCAAAGCCACCGTGCCTAAATTCACCGATATTAGTAAGAGAACTATGCTACAACAGGCAGATTGAGGCAAAAATCTTAGAGTTACATTAGTCATACCCACTGTATATGATATAACATGCTGATCATGATAATAGTGGGTGGAAAGCATGGCACAGGTAAGTGACATATAACATAACCATAAACATTATTATATACCACGCTGGGTGAGTAAATATGTGGTTAAACCACTAGAGACAGGCTTCATATTTCACTTGTTATATAGACAACAGGCTTATTATTTCGCTGCTTACAGAGACAAGAGAGAGAGGAAAGACAACTTGGTTGTGTCTCTCCGTGCAGGGCCGGACTGGCCCACCGGGATACCGGGAAATTTCCCGGTGGGCCGTCGGCACCTGGGGCCGGCCCTTTAAATACTGCAGCCGCCCGAGCGCTCTGTGAAGAGCGGTCGGCTGCAGCTTCTCCCCTGTAGCGTGGCCGAGCTGCACTCCGGTCCGCGGTGCCCGGCCGGAGTGATAAGAAGGTGCACACTGAGTGTTCACCTTCCTATCAGTCCGGCCGGGCACCACGGATCGGAGTGCAGCTCGGCCACGCTACGGGGGAGGGGGTAAGAAGAGAGGGAGGAGGAGGGAATAAAAAGAGGGGGGGGAATAAGAAGAGGG